GGTGAAGAGTCTACCACGTTCATTTTTCAGCACACCTGCACTTCCTTCTTCATTTTTTATTCTCATTTTCACCCTTCGGACTTTTTCTTTGAGGGCGTTAGGGTGCAGGGTACAAACAAAGAAAAACGACACAAACTTATGTTCTTCTTTTACTGCAGTCTTCACTGTTTTGCAGTTTTAGTGAAGGGTTTCCCACCTTTGCACATTCTTGTACACTCTTTTCAGCGCACCTGCACATTTTTGTCAGGGTGCAAGGTACGTCTAAGTAAGACCCTCACGACAGATAGGACAACTATCATAAGGATGCGGGCGATGGTAGCGGCCCTCCCGCTGATCTATAGGATGAAAACCATTCAGGTAAGCAACTTCGTCACAGCAGGAACGAGGACGGCTAGCATCGACCATACCTCTGAAGCATGCACGACAGAGGGCATGCCGGTTGCAGGCCATGACCATTGTGGGGCGTTCACCATCACAGTTAAGTGCACATTCGCTATAGCGCCCGTAGGCACAGATGGGACATACTGCATCTGGATGCAGAGGATGTTCACAATCTGGATACAGGTGGCATCCATGCCGACAGCGGGCCTGAAAAATTATATGGTTGTAGTGATGTCGACAAAGTCGATGCTTTCCACAACCAAGTGTAACTGTGTCAGTGATCTCATAAAGAAGGAGGTCACAAGGTGTTAGTGCAGCATGCGGGGGAATGAAGACTAAAGCAGGCACGGTGGCAGACATGGAGGTAGGCACGGAGACAGACACAGAAACGGGCATGGAGACATGCAGACGCAGGGATGGAAGTACACGAGGTACCTATAGGGTCAGTAATCTGGAAGGAGACAGACATAGAAACAGGCACAGAGACAGGTACGGAGGCAGGCACAGCGATAGGCGTAGAGGCAGGCATGGAAGTACACGAGGTACCCATAGGGTCAATGACATGGAGCAGTTGCAGGTTAGGGTGATTACGCACGAGATCACAGATGGCAGTAATAGTTTGCACCATAGCACCGCCATTCCATAATTCCCAAGAACCAGAGGCACGGACAAGAGCGGTGTAGTGGCCAGGAGTATGTAGAATATAGGCACAAACATGCGAACAGTGGTCCGGGTCGCCACCCGAAGGGGCACGCTGCATATCAAGCCGGCACCTTATCAAAGCACTCTCCAAAACAGAGACATTGAATCCCCCATGTCGAGTGTAATTACTATCCTGTGGGGGATGCAGAGTCGGGTTATTGCCATATAACTCACGTTCCTGAGCATCAAGATYGGAAGCAATGGCCAAGAAATCAGAGTGAGTATATGGTTCCCGACGGTAGGCTTGTAGGCAGATGTTAGTAGCAGCGAGGCCACACAGATTCGGTGGAGGCCGGTCAGGCGGATTTTCTACAGAATATCCTACAGTCCCCTTGCCAAGTTCTTCCTCAGATGGTCCCTCGCCATCATCCCTCCCGTTTTGTGTTTGCCGCGTTGCAGAAAGGTCTGCAGTCGAAGAGCATTGCAGGCGTGGTAAGGATGTTTGGGGCGGCAAAAGACGGGGACGGGATGTTGGGGAGGGCCATGGTGGGGAGAATGAACGGGTTCTTCTTCGTCCAAGAACAAAGATGGAGGAAAGGGGGGTAAGCTGAGGTTGGGAAGTAGGTCGAAGTCGGCGTCTAGG